ACCCTCTCTCCAGCCCCCAACTTTGACTCTTAAGATCTTACAGGAGCTGGGCTTGGTGGCACACACCTTTAGTCCCAGCAGAGGCAGGCAGATCTCTGCGAATTCAGGGCCAGCCTGGTCTACATAGTGAGTTCTGAGACGCCTGCTCCCCACCAAAAGATTTTAGTAGGGGCTCCTCATTCATCTGGAAGGAGAAGGGTGGGGAGGATGGTTGGTAGAGTGTATTGAGTTACAAATGCCTATTGGAATTATCTATAAGAAAATCTAAGATGGAAATCAAGTCACTAAAGCACTAAGAGAGTACTATAAGCTACAGATATGAACATGGCTGCCCAGGTACAGTGAGCTGACATCAAAAAGGGACCAGACTCTAGTTATTAGAGGATGAAGCCAAGCTGACTAACAGAAAAGGATTAGGCAGAACCACTTACAAAGAAGTCCAAGAGCAACTAGACATCAGAACTACAGAAACCAGGCTGGAAAGAAGGCTTAGAGGTTAAGAGTGCTTATTGCTCTTCCACAGTACCTGAGTGCTGGAGACACTGCTTTCCCTGAGCTCTGCTGAAAGCATGCTTGACCAATGCAATGGCACCTCTGGTCAAGAATGACTATGTGGCAAAAGCTGCCTAAGCATGTGTGTTGAGGCAGACAAAGGAGCACAGAGCTCCCACTCCAAATTCTGTAAGGAAATAACTTCCTGACCACTGGTCACAGTGCCATTATGCTTAGCTAGTTTTCATCGTAGCAAACAGACTCTTTGCTTCAAAATAACATCTAGACATCTTGAGGAAGTTTTCTCAAGACTAATTGCACTGAGTGAAAGTAACATTGTTTGCCCTGCTTATGTAGGTTAAAGCAATAAAAACACTGGTACAGGAGCTCCTGGCCTCTGTTCACTCAGCAGAGAGCCTCCTGGTACTGCACTCTTGAGATTCTAATTAACAGCTATCTTCCCTTCATGCTGTGCTGTCCCTCTTCCAGGATTCTCTGAACCCCTGCCATGCTGAACATAGCACCCAAGTTCAGTTTCCAGCACTCATGTTGGGCAACTCACAACCACCTGTAACTCCAGATCCAAGGGATCTCATGCCCTCTCTGGCCTCTACAGGCATCTGCACACATGTAGGTGTACACATACATACACATACACACACACACACACATAAATAAGATTATGGTGGCCCACACCTTTAATCCCAACACTCTGGACATAGGCAGGTATATCTCTCTGAGTTCAAGGTCAGCTTGATCTACATAGTGAGCTCCAGGACAACCAGAGCCATACAGTAAAACTCTGTCTAAAAAAAAAAAGAGAAAATAAGAGAAAAAAACTTCAAAGAGGGGAGGAGTCACATGCAGCTGAGAAGTCTGGCAAAATGTTTTGACATCTTAAGAAGTCACTGGAAACGTCATGCATAGCTTATTTGGTGGACTGGTAGGAGCAGAAGCAAGAACTTTGGACACCAAACGAGCATCTGTAGGGCTAGAGGGATGAGTTAGAAGTTAAGAGCACTCGCTTCTCTTTTTAAAACTTTTAGTTATTTACTTTCATTTTATGTGTATGCCTGTATTACCTGCATGTGTGTAAGTGCACCTGTGTTGTGCAATGCCCATGGAGGTCAGAGGAGGGTATCGGATCCCCTGGAACTGAAGTTTCAGGCAGTTGTTAGTTAGCATGTGGGTGCTGGGAATTGAACCCAGGTCCTCTGCAAGAGCAGTCAGTGCTCTTAACCACCATCACACCAGCCTTGTTTTTTTTTTTTTTTTAGTCTACTAATAATTTTATTATCTGTTGTTCAATGATCTAAAAGCAGTAATTAGGAAAAAGTGGGGGCATGAAAATCAGCTAAAAAAAACCCCAACCAAACCAAAAAAGATAATTAAAACCCCCACCCAAAACCAAACCACATGCTCTAGGCACAAAATGAATGGTAAAGAAATCTCACCACCAGCACCACCCATGCAGAGATAGAAGGTACATGCCAAGTTCCAGGTCACAGTGTGAGACCCTGTTTCAGCAAACAAACAAAAAAAAAACCAAAATAAGAAAAAATACGGACAGGCAGTAGGCAACGCCAATAATCCCAGCTTCCAGAGGATCTGAAGAATTCAAGGTCATGCTCTGCTACATATTAAATTTGATGGCTACTCTGGGCTTACTCATGTGTCCTCCCAGAAAAAAAAGGGGGTTGGGCAAGAATTCATTCCCAAAGGGTATGAGCTATGAGCTCCATAGATTCAGAACCCTGGGGTCCCTGGTTCCTGGTCTGCTATGCTGTCTCCATGCCATCTTCATCTTGGTCTTCAGCTCCATCTTGGTCCTCATCTCCATCTCTGTCCTCATCTTCACCTTGGTCCTCATCTCCATCTCGGTCCTCAGGTGTGGAAGAGACTGACAACCTCTCGAAGGCCTCCTCAGTCGTGGGGAGCTCGGAGGACTCAGGGGAGGATGGGGGTTCCAGCTCTACATCGCAGTCACTCCATCTTTTCAGGTGTTCTGGGTCGCAGATTTCACAGCTGTGCTTATGGCTGATCTGGCAGCCTTTTGATTTGCAGCAGTGGGTGTTGTGGTATTGGTAGAACACGAGGGCGATCCGGGTGGGCATGTGCCGTTGGATTCTCTGCTGCTCATACTTCTCATTGTGAATGTGGAACCAAATCTCAACTTCCTCCTCCTCCAGGTCCAGTCTGGCGGCCAGGGCCTTGAGAGCTTCGCGGTCAGGGTGGGGTTCTATCTTGAAATATTCTTGCATGGCAAGGTGCTTGTCCACCTGGTACGAGTAATGAAGCCCCAGGGGGCAGGGTTCCTTCATTTCTCCTTAGGCTTCCGCGTCCACATTGAAGAAAAAAAAGAAAAAAAAAAAAAAAAAAAGACAGCTTGCAGGACTCACATCTATAATCCCAGCAATCGGAAGGTTGGGGTGCGCGGAGGTTCCCGTTGGGTTGCAGCTGCTTTCCGGTATTTGAGGCGGCGGTCATAGTAGTTAGGTTTGAGTCTGTTCATTTTGAGATTCCTCAGCTGGATCTCTCTCAACCTGCAGTCCTTCCGACCCCAACTCACTCCCTGTTTTGTTTTTTATGAGACAGGCTCTCACTGTGTAACTCTGGCTGGCCTGGAACTATGTAGACTAGGCTGGCCTCAAATTCACAGACATCCCAAGTACTGGGACTAAAGGCATACACCACCATGCCCATCACATTTGCTCTCTCATAGAGGATCCAGTTCCATTCCCAGTGGCTCACAGCTGTCTAAAACTCTAGTTCCAGTGGATCTGACACCTTCTTTCAGCCTCTGAGGGCACCAGGCACATACATACACTCAGACAAACTACTCATGCATATAAAATAAATGAATCTTAAAAAATAAAAAAGAAGGGCTGAAGAGGTGGCTCAGGGGTTAAGAGCACTTGCTATTCTTCCAGAGGAACCAGGTTCAATTCCTAGCACCCACATGGCTCTGTTCCCTCTTCTGGTCTTCTAGGATACTACACACATACCAGTAAACATACAGGCAATCAAAACACTTGTACAAATAAAAATAAGTAAACCATTTTTAAAAATTGAAAAGAGCTGGGCATGGTGGCACACACTTTTAATCCCAACACTCGGGAGGCAGAGGCAGGTGGATCTTGGTGAGTTCAAGGCCAGCCTGGTCTACATAGTGAGTTCCAGGACAGCTGGGGCTACAGGGAGACTGTCTCAAAAAGACCAAAAAAAAAAAAAAAAAAAAGAAAGACGTGGGGCTGGAGAGGTGGTTCAGCGGTTAAGAACACTGGCTGTTCTTACAGAAGACCTGGATTTGAATCTCACCCACATGGCAGCTAACAACTGTCCATAATTAGCTCCAGTTCCAGGGGATCTGACAGCCTCTTCCGTTCTCCGCAGGCATTGCAGGACACAGGTGCACTTACCTACATGCAGGCAATATACACATACACATAAAATAAAAATAACAAAATATTTTTTAAAAAATTGAAAAGAAAGACACATCTTCCTACATGGACTGGTTTCTCCCACTACTCCTTCATGCATGTTTCTCTTAGCTGAGACACCTAGTTAGTCTGAGGCTGAAGATGTAATGCAAGTGGTGAAGCACTTGCTTTGCATGGACAAATCCCTGGGTTCCACACCCAGCTCTGCAAAATAAAATATTGCTAGTTTGTTTTTGTCTTTTTGAGATAGGATCTTCTTGTAGTCCCAGTCGGCCTGGAACTTGCCATGTATACCAGGCTGGCCTGGATCTCATAGAGATAATACAATGGATCCCAATACAATGGATTGGGATCTGTACCATAAAAAGTACGGTCAAATTATTTTCTAGGTTTATATTTGGTTCTAGTTCACAGTTTATCTTTAGGTATTGAACTTACCAGTTGGTAAACCCTTGAAACTAACATATTCAAACTAACATAAATTGTTTTTTTGTGGTAATACTGGCCCCAGGGCATCGCCAGGCTCATTGCCAATAACTGGCTGGAAGTGAGTACCTTCCACTCTGGCTCGCTTGGCTCGTCTTTGCCTTCCCCACTTTCTTCCACTTTTCTAGCAGTGTCCCTGACTTTTCTTATGCTTGGCTCATTTGTTAGCCCCATCTTTCCCCTCAAAGGTTTGATTATGGAATAAAACGACTGCGGCATGCATTTACAAAGTGCTTCCATATTTACGAACAAAGCACTTTACTATCATTAGAGCTCAGAATAGTCGCCTGTTAAATTCTAGCTATTTCGGCCAACTGAGGCAGCAGGGTCATTTCAGCTCAAACTGGGCAACATAGCCGGAAGGGCAGCAATTAGGCACCCGCGCCCGCAGCCGGGTCCCTCTCGCACTTCAGCCTAGTGCGTCTGATGCCTCCCTTAGCGAAAGTCGGGAGGGTGCCTGTGTCGCACGCGCACGGCTTTCTGGGAAATGTAGGCGGATGTTTGAGTTAGAACTACAAATCCCGGCAGGCACAAGGCTGGCGCTCCATATATGAGGGAGTGTTCTGGAGACCTTGAATCTTGTCAGTGCTTAGCAGTGCTGCACAAACTTGACACGGTGTTCACTAGGAGGCTTTTGGGAAACAACAATAGCCCTGCGGGCGAGAGTGCACTGACTAACTTTTGCTTCTGCAGCTTCCTCACTGTGGCGAATCTGCCGTTGAGGCACGATGGCTAGACTCTCAGGGAAGCGTGTGGAATCGGCTATGGGAAGAACGACGCAGGGTTTCCTCGGCAGCCACCGTCATGGCGGCGGCCGCTCCTAATGCAGGGGATTCCGTGCCTGAGGCGGCGAGCTCTGTCGAAGCCCCGCTGCAGTACAGCCTTCTTCTGCAGTATCTGGTGGGCGATAAGCGTCAGCCTCGGCTCCTGGAGCCTGGAAGCCTGGGCGGGATCCCGAGTCCAGCCAAAAGTGAGGAGCAGAAGATGATCGAGAGAGCAATGGAGAGCTGCGCCTTCAAGGCAGTGTTGGCCTGCGTGGGAGGTGAGGCGAGGCCCGTGAGGCCCGGGGCGGAGGGCTCGGAAGGCCTTGGACTTCTCTGTCAAGACCACGTGCCTGGGAGGCGCGGGACCTATGGGTCTCTATGATTTCCCCCCTAACTTGGCTCAGTTGCGGGGGACATCTCTCCTCTTGAGGTTAACATTCACGGATGGAAATTAGATCCGAGAACGACCTGCATATTGTAAAATGGCTGTTTTCCTTCATTTATTCGTTTATTCAGTTATTCATTCAATAAGCCGTTACTAAGCACCTGTTAGATGCCAGTCGTGGGGATATGGATGAAAGCGACCAGAGCTCTGATTTCCGGAAACTAACATTTTTCTATAGTGGCAGAATGTCAAGGATCCGGGCAGAAGAGTGCTACAGATGTATAGGGAATTGGAAATGCAAAGGCATTCAAGGCAGAAACTTGAAGCTTGAAAACTGCAAATCCCAGTGTGATTAGACAGTGGAGTGGGGATGGGGGTGGGGCCCTTTAAGAAAACAAATTAACATTTGGGGATTTAAGAATGTACAGCATGACTCCTGTGTGCAGGTAAAACAGTCGACCGTATTTGTAGATGCGTTTAAATTTGATTAGGAATGAAAGAGATAAAAGAAATAAATAGCCGGTGTGGTGGCACATGCCTTTAGTCCCAGCATTTGAGAGGCAGAGGCAGGTGGATCTCCATGAGTTCCAGGCCAGCTGGGATTACATAAAGACCAAAAGAAATGAATATAGTTAGGGCCAGGTGTGGTGTTGCACACCCTTAATCCCAGAACTCGGGAGGCAGAGGCAGGTGGATCTCTGTGAATTTGTGGCCAGGCTGGTCTACACAGACTTTTGAAGCTTGAGTGCCTGGGAAACAAATTTTGGGAGAGGAGGTGTCTGGTTTCATTGAACTTCAATTGACCTTGAGGTAATGAGAAGACATCTGAATGGAAATGGCTGGAGAGAAAGTGCAGTTGGTAAAGTGCTTGCGATGCAGGCACAAAGATCTGAGTTCAATCCATGACACCCACATAAAAAAACAGGTATTTTTGCATAGTCTTGTAATCCTAGTGCTGGGGAGGCAGAGACAGGTGGATCCCTGGGACTCACTAACAAGCCAGCCTAGTCTAATCAGTGAGTCCCAGGTCCCAGTGAGACCCTGTCTTAAAAAACAAGGTGGATGGGACTGGAGAGATGGCTCAGCGGTTAAGAGCACTGACTGCTCTTGCGGAGGACCCAGGTTCAATTCCCAGCACCCACATGGTGGCTACAAACCATTCTTAACTCCAGTTCCAGGGGAATCTGTTGCCCTCTTCTGAGCTCTGCAGCATTGTACGACATGGGTACACTCATGTACATGCAGGCAATACACTCATACTCATAAAATAAAAATAATAAAATATATTTTTTAAAAAAGGTGGATGATTCCTGAGGAATGATACCCTGAGGATGACCTTACATATACATGCACACATCTCCCCCTACCCCAAAGAAATAGCCAAGGCTCAGACAGGTCATATATTGGCAGTAACATGGGGTCTCTCATTTGGTAGATATGTGACTTTGGAGGAAGTTCCTTAACCTCTCATAGCCTTGGTTTCATTGTCTATAAGTGAGGGCATAGCCTCTATCTCACAAATTATTGTGAAGAGCATTCCCGACTGTCTGATACATGGTACTTACTAAATGACCACTATGGATGTCCCTATGGTCCAGGGAATGATGCGAAGTTGATAGCTGAACTTGAAGTGGCTGGTTTACATATGGAGAGAACAGAGGGCTAAAGACGAATGTCAGGATGATGAGAGAAGAGATCCTAGAGGAGGTATGGGAGAGAGACCCAGATTGTGTGCTGTGGAGGAAGCTGGAGAGATTGAGTAGCAAGAGGCCCAAAAGGTCGCCTTTGAGTGTGATTCCATTGTGGTCACCCAGAAAACATGTCAAAGAAAACTTCACCTCTGCTTGCTTTTAGGATTTGTCTTGGGAGGCGCATTTGGGGTGTTTACTGCTGGCATTGATACCAATATAGGCTTTGACCCTAAGGATCCTTACCGTACACCAACTGCAAAAGAAGTTCTGAAGGACATGGGACAGAGAGGAATGTCCTACGCCAAAAATTTTGCCATTGTGGGCGCCATGTTTTCGTGTACTGAGTGTTTGGTAGAATCTGTAAGTGCTTTTTTTTTTCTAAGAAATCCTTTGTACCCGTGTCGTGCAGTGTCTGTGGAGGTCAGAAGAGGCTGTCGGATCCCCTGGGACTGGAGTTATGGACAGTTGTTAGCTACCATGTGGATGCTGGGATTGGAACCCAGGTCTTCTGCAAGAACAACCTGTGTTCTTAACTGCTGAGCCATCTCTCCAGCACCCACACTTTTTTTTAAAAAAAGAAAACAATTGTCATTATTTTTTGTTTTTGTTTTTTGAGACAGGGTCTCACTACGTAGCTTTGGCTGACCTGGAGCTCTTTATGTAGACCAGCCTGGACTCAAACTCAGAGATCTGCATACCTCTGCATTTGAGTGCTAGGATTAAAGACATGCACTACCATGCCTAGCAACAATTGTCTTTTAAAGCATTTATCTTTGTTTATGTGTATATCTGCATGTATGTATGTATGTGTTCATGCATGGGTGCCCACACAGGCCAGAAAAGGGAGTTGGATCTTTTAGAGCTGGAGTTAAAGGTGCTTGTGAGCCACCCTGGGTGCTGGGAACCGAACTCTCATCCTCTGCAAGAGCAGCCAGTGCTCTTAATTGCTGAGCCATTTCTCTAGCTCCTCACACAACTTTGAAAAAAGAGAAATGTTCTAAGTGATTGCTCCTAGCATGCAGATCAGAAATGTCAAGATTGAGCCAGATGTGGTTCGTGCATATAATCTCAGCACTTAGGAGCTGAGGCAGGAGGATCATGAAAACCAGACCAGCCTGGGCTATATAGCAAGATCTTGTTTCAAAACAAACATTTTTTAAAATGTCAAGTTTTGGTCTAGGTAGTACTTCCATAAAATAGTCCCTAAGGTGAAGTTTTTGCATATTAATAATATGCATTTATTAATAATATGCATAATATGGGCAAAAAATTAGTGATTTTTCTTATTTGTTGCTGGGGCTTGAACTTGGGGCTTTGTGCACAGTAGGCAAATGCTCCAACACCAGCTCATTCCCCCAGCCCAGTTAATAATCTTAAATAGTAACTTTCTTGGTGAAACCTATGAAATTTTAGTTATTTCTCAAGCCTTCTGGTGCCCCCTGCAGGAAGCATGTATGAACACATTCAAATTTTAGGAACTCTACTTGTGTTCTTTTTTTCAGAAAGGGTCTGAAAAAAATAGGTCTCCCTGTAGCAGAGCAGGCTGGCCTCAGTCTCACAGAGATCTGTCTGGGCCTTTGCCTCCCTCATGCTGGGATTAAAGGCCTGCGTCACCATGCCCTGCTGGAGGAACTATACTTTTGAAACAAAGATAGGTTTCCTCTGGTAGGACTAAGCTAATCAACGGGAGCCCTGTATCCCTTCCCGTGGTATGGCTTGTTTTCCTGGTTCTCAACTGTCTCTCTCCACCCACAGTACCGGGGAAAGTCAGACTGGAAGAACAGTGTCATTAGTGGCTGCATCACTGGAGGAGCCATTGGTTTCAGAGGTTCGTAAACAGCTCTGGAGTGGTTTTCTTTTGTGGCCTTAGACAACATGATGATGTTGACATTTCCTAACATATGAGTGTTCTAGGGATACTTGATAGTCTTTCTTCTGTCAGATCCTGGTTGCCTCTCTGTTAACTTAGCCTTGGAAACTTGCCAGTGCCTCCGTCTATATTAGGCTTACTCATCCCTGGTAGTAGACATTTTGGACCAGATAAATCTTTGCTGTGTGGGCTCATGTGCACTGTAGACTATTTAGCCAGATGTTTGTGTCCCTTCAGTTGGGACAACTCAGAGTATCTCCTAGTTTTACCAAAACACCTGGGGGTAGACAAACTACCCACACCTGAGAACCACTGAGCTAGATCTTAGAAAAAACTCCCGTGCTGAGTTTGTGAGAGGACATTCTCAGGGTAAGTGGTGTGTTAGATGCCAGCTAGTACAACAGAAGCCTAGCTCTGGCCACTCAGCCCCGAGCATTCCATTTATCCACATGTGCAGGCTGTGCTGAAATTTTAGCTCCTGTCATTTCAAGTGTTTACTCATTTTTCTTCATTTTCTACAGTTGTCAGGGTTTTGTTTGTCTTACAGTTCTGGGAACCAGACTCAAGGTCTTGTAAATGCTAAGCATGAATTCTAATACTGACTGACAACCCCAGCCTTAGTGGTCACTTTTAATTTTGTATATAAATTATAATAGTAATGTCTGTCTGCAGTTGGGGACTCTTGGATTTCTGTCATTTGAAAGCTAAGTACACACAGGCATGGTCATACATGCCTGTAATTCCAGCACTCAAGAGGAATCAGAAGACTATCTCAAAAACCAAGGGCGGCCTCATGAACTTGACTTTCTTAGAGCAGTGTGTATTACTGGGCCACTCTCCATCATTCACATCCTGACCTACCTGTAACAAAAAAGCCTCTCACTTTCTGAGAGCCAGGATGACTTACTGTCATCACAGCTGCTTTGGCTCCTCACACGGCTGTGCTGATTTGTGCAGTGGCTTCTCTTTTGGTCTTCTCCTCGTGCAGCTTTGTCAGGGACTCTGAGAAGCTCAGGAACTCCCAGATTGCTTTGATCACCTTCCCAGGAATTTACTCCATAAACACATCAGGGTAAAAGGCCATATGCTTTCATTTGATTGCAAGGGCTGCTTCTCTTAACCAGTTTCCTGCCTGTGAGGGGCTAGTTCTATAAAACTGGAAATGGCAGTTCTTTGGAGAAAAGCTAAGCAAATGGTTAAATGTAGGACACTGGTTTGGATGGGGTACGTTGTCTTTGAAATCTTAGTAGCCATCATGGTTTGAATGATTAAGTTGGGTTCTTTGCATCTGTGGGTGTGCGAACTTTTGTAACTGCAGTCTGATTCCACACCTGTTACCATGGTAATGTTGCTTCTGTTTGCTTTACAGCTGGCGTAAAGGCTGGAGCCATAGGTTGTGGTGGCTTTGCTGCTTTCTCGGCTGCAATTGATTATTACCTACGATGAAAGAAATGGCCTGAAGGGAAGGAGGATGCCAGCGCTGTCCTCTGGAGGAGTTTCCACACACTTGGCATCGCTTTAGGGGCTGAAGCCGATTGTTTCCCTGCGTACAGTTGGTGTGAGGGAGTTGCCTGGCTACTCTCTGCCTCCAGCCAATTAAGCAGCCAACTTTTCCACTTCTGAACTCCAACCAGGCTTTTTAGGGGCGATGCCATGCCAGATTGTCTTCTTAGAGCAGATCAGAAGGCAGTGTGTTGACCGCTAAGAATTAAGTTCCTCCCAGACGCAATCCAGAGCTCACTCAGCTCTCCAGCTGTGGGCATGGTGGTGGCGGCATCAGGTTCGCCCTCAGCCAGGAAGCTCTTCTGACTTGGAACTATGTGTAAGCATCCACTTCGCATACCAGGGCAGGGCAGGGTAAACTTATGCCAAAAATGTCATTTTGGTTAGTATCTTTGCCATCCTTGTTTAAAGTGTGTGTGTGTGTGTGTGTGTATATATGTATGTAAAATATATATAATTTACTATTATAAAGAGCTGTTTTTGTTTTTGAAATGCCACAGTTCTCACAAATGATGTCAGGTGGCCTTAAGAATGGCGGTTCTGCCAGGCGTGGTGGCACATGCCTTTAATCCATCCCAGCACTGGGGAGGCAGAGGCAGGTGGATCTCTGTGAGTTGAAGGCCAGTCTGGTCTACATAGTGAGTTCCAGAACAGCTGGGGCTACAGGGAGACCCTGTCTCAAAAAGACTAAAAAAAAAAAAAAAAAGGCAGTTCCTTGGGAAAGAGTGTGAAATCTGCAGCGAACTCTCCAGAAGCGCAGCCTGGCTGCTTTCTAGGATGCACTCCAGTGCCCTGCAAAACCCCTCTGCTTCCTCAAAGAGCCCCACTGGGTGACTGATGGTCATACCTGCAGCTTACTGAACCACTGTGGTTTCAGGCCCCGGCCCAACTTAAAGACACGTGAGGATCTTGCTGTGGTCATCCTGCTGGCTGGGTCACAGCTACTGGCCAAGATCAGGGGCTTGTCCCACCACTGCCTGTATTTCATTGTCTTAGGTTTTTCTTTGGCTTTTTAGTGTTTTTGCCTTGAATTCAACAGCTCAGCCCAATTGTGCACCATGGCAGAAAACTAGCCTTTCATGATTGGGCTGTGCCACTGGCTGCTTTATTGTAGTGGAGATGAACTTGAACTCAGGCTTACCTTCTGGAGGCTCAGCACGGGTCCTGTGACTGGCTACCTTCAGCCAGTATTCCTTTTTTTCCTTGCTGCATAGTTAACTCAATGACTTTGCCTCTTCATCTCATCTTCTCTGTCTTCTAACCTCCTCACCCTTAAGCAGAATTCAGACTCAAACATTCAGGCATCTGAGTGTATTTGTATGTGAGTGATGTTAAACCCAGCCGTAACACCTTTCTCTTGCTGTTTCCTTAGAATGAGAGTGAGCTAGTTTACAGGGCTCATGTCCTTGTATGGTGAATTCTTTTCATTTTTGCAGTGCTGGAGGAAGAACCCAGGGCCTTGTGCATGCCCTTTACCAGTGAGCTCCCTCTGTCCAGCTTGAATTCAATATGCCTGCACTGTTTTCAGAAGCATGAGGCTTCGTGCCAGTTTGAGCATTCCCCCAGAGCTCCAACAAATTTAGGAGTGTTTTCTATACTGTCCCTAACTTCTCCATCTGTAGGACCTCTTTGAAGGAAGGACAATTCCTACCTGGTACCTGTGAAAGTGCCTAGATGCCTGGGATTGTCCACCAGCTGAGCTTATACATGGTTCCCAATACAAGAAGTGTAGCCCTCACAACTGCCTTGGCAAAGATGAGCCAGGACACTGTCAGTAGCCATCAGTTCAACAAGCCAAGCCTTGTCCATGTGGACTATTCAATCAAGAGGAGATGAATAGCTTCCTGTTTTAGATGGCTGGGGAACCAGTATGAGCTCATAAACCAAACAGCAGTTTGCAGAGACATCTGTTCCTGATCTCCATAATAAACAGTATCCAATGGCTTAGGCTAGTGGGAGTCCCACATGAACCCCACTGGTTCTTGCAAAGGAGTGGTGGGCCCTGGGGAGGGTGAGGATGCAGGTCTTTGACAAGCAGTGGACCAGAAGCTGCCATGTTGACTTAGAGGGAAATACAGAAACAAATTTGTACAGAACCAATGGGCAACTTCCTGCCATCTGTCCCAGGCACACTGCAACCAGCCCGTAGTGAATTGCCTGGACTTTAGGGACTACAGCAGCCACCTGCTGGCAGTGGACTTGGAAGCTTGTACAATTAGGAAAGTGCCTCCCCCCCAACCCCCCTCTAGGTTCCCAGAACTCAAAAGGGGTCAGGCCTTTAATCCCAGCACTCGGGAGGCAGGGGCAGGTGGATCTCTGAGATGGAGGCCAGCCTGGTCTAATAGTTCCAGGCCAGCTAGAATTACAGGGAAACTGTCTCAAGAGAACCCCCACCTCCCAAAAAAAAAATCAAAAGGAGGGTTCAAGATAGGTAAACAGGTTCCTGGAAACACATCTGGGTGCAGCTGGAAGGGTTTAAATATTTAGATTGGTGGTCTTCCCTGAACTACTGAACACAAACATCCATACCACAGGGTTGAGTTTTGTGCAAATGTTGGGGCTTTGCACTTTTTTTATTAACATTTTCCTCACATGGTTTACATCAATTTATAATAATCTACATAAATTTAAACAGAACAGACAAAAAAATATATCCTTACCAACTTATTAAAGTCAAATATTAATGAAGGGTCCCATCCTACCTCTATGAGCAAAAACTGGCAGCCCTCGGCCACTGCCCAGCAAGAAGCATGCCTGGGATTCCTGGGGCCTGCCTCCTAAGTGACCTATTGGCACAGGTTGCCTTGCTGGGCACAGTGATGGGGTTTGGGACTGCACAGTCCCTGTCAGGAGAACCCACTGGCTGTTCCTTGGTGCACCTCAGTCCAGATCTGGCAACTGACCCTCCCCACTTGGGGTGGAGTTTATAAAAAACAGGAGCCTTCAGCAATTCCTCCAGCCTCCTCGATGTTATATTGCCTAAGCAAGCTGGGAGCTGCAGCAGCTACCTAATGCTGAGAAGCCAACATTCCTCTTTGAGGCAGGAGGCACTGTTTTGATCTGAAACCAGCTCCAGTTGGGTCTTGATAATTTGTTACTGTTAAATCCTTTGAAAGCAAGAATCGTCTATGCCACACATCTACACCTGAGTGCCAAGTAGAGATTTCAACAGTGGTCAGATGTTGTGATCATTATACCATGAGGCACTTGTTCTCCTTTACCTGTTTCAGAGAGCAAGGCTCTTTGCTAAACTGCTAATAGGCAGCTGGGAAGTCAGCATTTCCTTCCTGCATGCACAGACTGTACCGTTATGCCACAGGCAACAGGTATAAACAGGACCAGAAGGCCCTTCCTCTCACTGAACAAACAGCAGCTTGGGGGCCAGCAAACCCTTCTTTAGACTTAGCCCTGAGCACATACAATGAGAGCTGGTCTCCCCAATCCTGAGGGCCAAGAATCACTTCTGCCAGGCAGCTGTGCTGTACTCAAGCCCCGGTGGCCAGGAGCATCTGTCCTCCCATGCTAACTGCCACGGGCTGGCAGCTGCTGCTCAGACTGGAAATGGTGCTTTGGGAATCTCCTTTCCAGTACTGAGCAATAGGTCACAAAGCTTGGAATGACAACCACTGATCCCATACCTCAGAGCCCCAGCAGAGCCCAATCTGAGACAGGTGCTTGTGATTCCCTATCCTCCCACAACTTCTGGTGTCCTCAAGTATACCCACAAGGGTGAATCTAGAAGCTGGGATAGTGCAGGGCAGCACCATTCTGACTGGCAAATGCTGGACTGTGCCTGCTGTTCCAGGCTTTGGAGCACACGTGGCAGTAGGGCTGCCCCGTGGCAGTGCTTGGCTGTTGAGTGTGTGTAAAATCTAAGGCAAAAGTACCACGAGGTATGTGAGGTGCCAGGAAAGCCTCCAGGACAGAGTCTGCTTACACCTGGACACCTGGCTCAGCCACAGAAGTTGCCCTCCAGTAAGCTAAGCTCCACTAGGATTGCTTCTGCAAGTTCTTGCTGCCAAGACTGGCTTCCCATGGCTCACACTAGTGCTGCCTGGCACTGCTGGCTCCTCCACCCATCTTGTTCCTCCACAGCCTGGGCTGTCCCACTTCCCCAGGTCCATTCCTGACCCTCTGGCTCTCTTGATAGCAGGACACTTGTGGGTCTTTACACTCAAAGGAAATAGAACACGGGGGGGGGGGGACACTGAAAATTCAGCAGCAGAAGAAAACAGTCAAAGATGCCTCACTGGTAGACAGGAGAGAGAACAGATGAACCCCAGAAATGGCAATTCTCAAATGGAAAATTCCAGAAATCAGCTCTCCAGCTCTGTGCTAAGCTGAAGATTAGTGTGTATCTGTCTCCTTGTCTGACATTTGCACAGGCAGCAAGGAAAAGCAGGAATGCTTCCAGGTGGAGGGTGAGGAGAGGCCAAGGGCAGCAATGCAGATCAGACAGGCTACAGCTGCCCAGGGCCTCTGAGGAACTTTCAGTGATGGAGCAAAACCCCATGCTGCACATGCATGCGGCAGGCTGAGAGGGCAGAGGACACTGTGCGGAGACTGCCAGGAGACTGCAATCTGGGAGCAGGGCCAGGAGAGAAGAAGCTGGCAGAAGTTACACAGCACAAAATAAAAACCCTTGGACTGGACTCGGGTAGAAAGAAAGTGTTGGGAGAAATGAAAGGACAAAGCAGGCTGTCTTGTGCCCACGCCAGCTCGGTCACTACCTTTTCTGCATGACAAATATACATAAAACATTTCCCGAACAGCACAGAGTATCAGACACAAGTAGAGGTACAGAGGGCAGGAGCCGGGGCGTGGCGGTGAGGTTGGGGGCTGGTCAGCTGGCTTTGTACAAGGTGGCACAAAAGATGCACATGTTCCAGTTCTTGGAAGGTGGCTTCCCTTGGAGTCTGGAGTGCTGGGCTGGGGAGTTTCTGTTGCAGTCTTTCAAGTCTATATAGGGTCTCAGCTGGAGGGCTAGCTCTGGCCACCCCAACAGCTGCCCACCTCAGGCTACACGTCTGTGGAGAAGTACAGTGTGTTCCGCTTCAGTTCTGCGAAGGAAATGGGGGGGTGCTGCAGGTAGTAGAGTAGGACCTGGACCTGTGGGGAGATAGGGAGACAAGCTGGGGTCTGCGTTCCTGATGCTCATTGATATGCTGGGAAGAAATGATGCCTGGGTTGCTGACAAGTCTAACGTCGACCCTGCTATTCTTTGGAAGCCCAGGTTCCTTTGCCTAGGCACTAGAGGGTGCTGCAGGGCCAAGGGTGCGGGAATCATTTCCTGGCCTAAGTCAAAAGCTTCCTGCTTGGGCATGAGCTAGGCTTTGGTTTCAGTCTGCCCTAGATGTTGAAGATATCCCAGGAGAGCCTCCTGACCCTGAAAGCAACTCCAGAGTTTTCATGCATGAAATCAAGATACCCAGAATTTTCTACATCCTAAGACTGAGGCACTCCCACCAAAGCAGCCAGTACCTGAGAAGATATTCTACAGCCCTTGTCTAGACTCACATTTTGTTTTGGACTGAGAGGGGGCAGGACTGGCTAGCCCTGTGCTTGAACATCCTATACACCATTGACCCAGCTGCCTAGTTGGGGAGGTGGGGCCTTTGAATTGCCTGAAAGCCTGGGCAGTGCTGGCGGTACCTGGGCCATGACATCATGGGACCAGATGTCTGCAGCTGACGTGAGATGTGCTTTGCTCTCCACTTCTGAGGGTCTCAGTAATGTGGGGCCAAACACGGTGGCCAAGTTGTGAAGTGACATCTTGTTGATGGGCTCCTTCTCAGCAACCCTGAACGGGGGCAGTGAAAAGAGAAGTAACTCCTCAGCAACCCTGGGAGACCCAGGATACGAGGCTAAGGACACCTGTAGGAGCTCCCTGAAGGATCACTGGGGCCATTCACCTACCCTCCCTCTCCTCCTCCTGAGTAGTGATCTGCTCGTGGGAAGGACATTAGGCTGTGGGACTGAGGTCCCAGCTATGTCCCAGTGTATTAGCCTACCTGCTGAGCTGATGGCAAACTCTTTGGGCCAGGACCCACAACTAGCAATGCCATTGTCCTTGACTTAGAGGTAAAAAACATTATAAGAAGATAGAAAACACAGGACTGGAGAGATGGCTCAGTGGTTAAGAGCACTGACTGCTCTTGTAGAGGACCTGGGTTTGATTCCCAACGCTCACACGGCGGCCACGAACCGTCCTTAACTCCAGTTCCAGGGGAATCTGAAGCCCTTTTCTGACCTCTGCGGCACTGCATGATACGAGTGCACTCACATACATGTAGGCAATACACTCATACACATAAAAATAATAAATATAAAAAAAGGGAACATTACTGCTCTAAGAACTCTTCCTGTAATGTATACTTATCACAGCCATGCAGTAGGTACCATTATTATCCTCAGATGATGAAACTAAAGCAGAGAGGTTAAGTGACTTGCCCAAGCCACAAAGCTAGTAAGTGGCAAGCTGGGATCTGAACCCTGAGCACTCTGCTCAAAAGCCTATGCTGTAACTATTCTGCTTTTACTCAGGATCCAACAGTTCAGCTGCAGGGAATCAATAGTGGGTGGGGCAGGGCAGGGAGGGCCGGTAGCCATGGGGCAGCTGCTAACTGGATCTCTAGTTATTCTTGCTGTGCCGGAACAGTTTTAACTTCAGGCAGGTCTGGGGGCTGAAATTCCCCTACTGTTCCAGAAGGGTCTGCTCATGGGACTAGGCTATCTCTCAGGTTTGATTTTGTTTCTCTTACATAATAGGCCAGGTGCTCTGTTGACAGGTCCCGAGTGACAGTGGGAGTTTCCCAGTATCACCAAATACATCAAGAATCCTGGACCTCCCCTGAATCCTATGAAATATTTTGGGGCTGAGACACACACATCCTGGGCAGGGCCTCTTACCTTACTCCCCAATACCCCATCATTCCCACCCTCTGGGCAGGATTCACAGATGTACTTGCTGACTGCTTTGGAAATTGGCAAACACTGCAGTGCCAGCAGGCAGCTATGCAGCAGGCCACCTCCTACTCTCTCCCCTAGTCAGGGACACAGAAGTGGGCCTAGTTCCCAGGGTGGAAAACCTAATGAATTTTCCCTTCCCACCCCTCCTCTGTGCATCCTCCCACAATGCTCGCCAAAGTATTTGGGAATTGGTTGGGGCCTTGATTCTGGCCAAACCAGAGGGAGGGAAAATGTCTCATGATGGAGAAAGCAAGACAGCAGCCCCAGTTGTGTCCAGGTCTCCACTGGCCCTCCAGAGCCTGTGATGGCAGAATCACAGTGAGCACCTTGAGGGGAGGACCTCAGAAGTGCTGGTCACTGAGCAGTCCCTCCTGAGGGGAGGGGGTCCTTGGTCCAGTGGCAAGTGGATTTAAGGGAAACACAGGGACTTCTCTCCAGTGGTGTCTGGGATTAGCCCTGGGCTGAAAAGTGAGTGATGAGGACATCTGGGACAAGGGTCAATCCTGAACACTGGAGTGGACATCAGCTTGAGCAGCTCTGGTTTGCCTTGACCTTGGGAGGGGTGAGGGAAGGTGAGAAGGGTCTTGGTTTAGGATTCAGAAGATGTGGCTTCTAAATTCAGTTTCATTGCTAAGCCAAGCAATTCCCTGCTGGGTGTGGGCCAAGACCAGTAGGTTTCAAAGTCTTAACAGTAACAAGCACATCTGATGATGTAACCTGGAACACATTTACCAGTAACTGAACAAAGCTTACTGTCTGCAGCATACTCTGTTGCTTCCCATTATGTTTTACTAAAAAAAAAAAAAAGCACTACTGGGCTGGGGACATAGCTCAGTGGGTAAAGGCACTTGCCACCAAGCCTGATGACCTGAGTTTGATCCCTGGACCCTATGTAGTAGGAGAGAACTGACTTTCCCAAGTTGTCCTCTAACCCCCAGGCATAAGCCATGGTATGTACACGCACACGCACACTCACACACACACACACACACACACACGATAAATAAACGGGGGAAAAAGCTACACTGACTAAATGAACCACTTATAATTTGGGACCTACTGATTTAAAAATTCATCTGAGGCCCTGTGCTCTAGCTCCATCGTTCTGAGCATCTCATGGCTGGTTCTTAGATAGGGTCTTGTTATGTTGCCCAAGCTGGTCTTGAGATCTTGGGCTCAAGCACTCTTCCTGCTTCAGTATCATGACTACAGGTATGTGCCACTATGCCTGGCTATGGCTAACAACTTAGGCTGCTATGGACAGCCCAGCAGAGGCCCAGTACCCAAGAGGCAGAGCTGAGGAGAGAGGTCTAATGGGATGGGTGGAACAGGTGACTGCCCTGGGTGTATGTACACCTTCTCCAGGCCCCACCACTCCTTACCTTTTCAAGTGTTCCAGCAAGAAAAGGAAGGTGATAAGGTTGGGATCAGGCAGGGAGCGGAGCAGGTGCATCATGCAGTTCTCCTTGGCAGCAGGATCTGACAGGGCTGTAGGAAAAGAAGGGGTTGGGGCAGGGCCTGGCTGGGGGGTGGGAGACTGGAAGCCTGGCTTAGAGCCCCTGTGCCATAAGGCACACCTGTACTATGGAAGAACCTAAGCTGCAGGGGCTTAGGGAAGAATAGCCCAAGGTGGGGATGTGGGGGGCTGGTATGTGGGCAGGCTGTTAGTGGCAGGTTTTCCTAGAATGCCTCACCATGACTTGTCAGAAGGCAGGCTGGAGGAATAGCCTCTTCCTTCCCTCCTGTACTGGCTACGTCTCCAGTGCCATCCCACCCCTACCCTATGCTAGTTTAATCCAGTGGTGGTGCATATTGCTAGGGATGGGGATGTTTTCTGTCAGCCACTTCTGATGCTGGTACCCAGACTGAGCACTCCTAGAGCTTTGCCTCTGGAGAAGACGGGAGGATGTGGCAGGCCTGGATGTAGCCCAGGTAGGTGGATGCAGGAACTCTGCTGGCCAGTACCCTTGGCAGAGATGAGGAGAGCCATCCTGAAGGGCTCAGCATAGCTGTCCTCAATGTCCTCTGGCTCAAACCAGCTTTCTCTCTGGCCCAGGAGCTGGAGCTGTTAGCTCAGGGCATTCTTCCCTAAATGCCTGTGTTTCCAGGCAAGCAGATCAATATGAAAGGAGGAGGCACAAAAGGGCCAGTCTGGGGACACACAGGCAGAGAGGTAGATGAGTCCTCATCCTTGGCCCCAGGCCCCCAGCAGGCAGTACCTCTCCTTCAAGCCCTTCAGCTGTGACTGGGGCAGGCAGTATACTGGACAGGCAACTGGGCAAGGCAGGCCTCAGGTATCTCCTCCTGCTCTTTTACTTCTCCAGTCCAGGAGGCTTAGCTTGGTCCAGCCAACCCTCAGGAACCCAGGAGCCTTACCAATGCCCTCCATGAAGGCTGGGTAAAGTCGGTCTGTGAGGAGGGGCTCTGGCAGTTCTCGGAAGTAGAGCTTGAGGGTTCCAGCGATGGCATTGATGTCCATGTCGCTCAGCATCAGCAGGATGTCCTTGTTATCTGTAGAGGAGGGGGCAAGGTCAGGGGCCTCTCAGTCATCTCTTTCTCCCCTGTGGCAGCCTTCAGTCCTGTTTCAGTCCCCTAGATCTGTCCCCTACATTCCCTCCCACTGCATTTCAGCCTCTGGCCTTTCCCTAGAAAGGCAGGACATAGGTGGTGTCCACAGGTTCTGTGTCATCCTGGGTAAGGGGCAGCAGGGAGGCAGGCTGGGGTCCATCTGTTGTGGCTTCCCAGGAGAGGAGGGGATTGCAACTTATCACCCAGAGTCTTATAGCCATATTCACACTACATGGCACACACCTGAACTCATGTTCTGAGAAGCCATACAACAGTATGATCTCAGCCCCTATCCTGTCCTTGCCCTACTTGGACTCATTGCTGCCTGCACAGTTCAGGCATCCTGAGCACTGGGTATGCTGCCTCAGCCTGACTTCAAAGGACAGGGAAGAGGAAACCAGAAGGCCAGGCAGGCTACTCCGAGGAGGGACTTAGGTGGAGGCAGGCCTGCCCTATGTGACCAGGACCTGGAGACACTAGAAAGGAACCTAGCTAGCAACATGCACTCTGGAGTCAGAAAGGTGTAAATTTAAGGTCACGGGGCTGGAGAGATGGCTCAGCAGTTAAGAGCACTGACTGCTCTTGCAGAGAGGACTTGGGTTTGATTCCTAGCACCCACATGGGCGGCTACGAAATGTCCTTAACTCCAGTTCCAGGGGAATCCAACGCCCTCTTCTCACCTTTGCAGCATTGCATGACACGGGTGCACTCACATACATGCAGGCAATACACTCATACACATAAAAAAAATAAAAATACAAAAAATATATAAAAAAAATTTAAGTTCAGGCTCAAAAACCTACAAAGCTGGGTAACCCAGGGCAAATGACTTGGCCTCCTGAGCTCCACTCTTTATTTGCAGCAGTGGTTAAGAAATTAATAGTGGAGGGGCTGGAGAGATGGCTCAGTGGGTAAGAACACTGAATGTTCTTGCAGAAGCCCCGGGTTCAAAATCCCAGCACCCAAATGGCAGCTAACAACTGTCTGTAACTCCAGTTCCAGGGGATCTGACAGCCTCTTCTGTCCTCCACGGGCATTGCATGACATGGGTGCACTTACTTACATGCACGCAATACATACATACACATAAAAATATAAAAATTGGGGCTAGCCAGGTGTGGTGGCACACGCCTTTAATCCCAGCACTCTGGAGGCAGAGGCAGGCGAATCTCTGTGAGTTCAAGGCCAGCCTGGTCTACAAATTGAGTTCCAGGACAGCTGGGGCTATAGGGAGACCCTGTCTCAAAAAGACTAAAAAAGACCAAAAACAAAAGAAAAAATTGGGTCTGGAGAGATGGCTCAGCAGTTAAGAACACTGGTTGTTCTTGAAGAAGACCTGGGTTTGAATCCCAGCACCCACATGGCAGCTAACAACTGTCCATAGCTCCAGTCCCAGGGAATCCGACAGCCTCTTCTGACCTCTGTAGGCATTGCACACGAGTGCACTCACCTACATGCAGGCAATACCCGTATACACAAAAATATGTAAAAATTTAAAAAATGAAGATATTAAGAGCGGAGGAAGATGAAATGGGAAGGTGCAGGCACTGTACTTGTCATGGGGACTCAGAAACAGGGCACAGGCCAAGGCTGCTCTCCAACCAGCTGCATGGATACCACCCACTCCCACCAGCCCCCTCCACTCACTGGCATCGAAGACAGCCTTCAGCGCCTGGATGTCTGTGGCAACCCCTGATATCCGGTAGATGCCCACTTCCTCAATGCCCCTCTTCTCCACTTCTTCCACACATTGCCGCACGATGTAGGGCACCTTGGAGCGCTCCCGCCTACAGGACATGGGTACAGGGAAGTGGAGGGAGCCTCCCATATTGGCGGTGCCCTTTAGCCCCCTCCACAGCTTTAGCCTCTGGGATCAGAAGTCAAGGCAAGGAAAGGACTGAAGAAGAGGCTATCCCATTCCACCAAAGCTTGCCTGCTGAGGCATAGCAGAGGACATGGTAGGGAAAAAGGCCAAAGACTGGGAAAGAATGTCCTGTTGGAGTCAAATGCTTGGAGGTGGGTGCAGCTCAGTGGCAGAGCACTTCTGTAGCAAATGTGAGACCCTAGCAATGAAAGCAATAAAAATATTCAAGGGGGGGCTGGGCGTGGTGGCGCACGCCTTTAATCCCAGCACTCGGGAGGCAGATGCAGGCAGATCTCTATGAGTTCAAAGCCAGCCTGGTCTACATAGTGAGTTCCAGGCCAGCTGGGGCTACATGGAGACCCTGTCTCAAAAAGACCAAAAAAAAAAAAAAAATGAAGGGGAAAGACAAACAAAAAAAACTCATGAGGTGCTAAGCAGCTAATCCACATGAGGAGGGCAGGTCAGGACCCAGGAACAAAGTGCCCAGAGGGGTGGTGGGACCTGAAGGGTATGGTCCTTGCCCAAGGGACAGCTAGCTAATCACCCCTGCCTCTAGCTGACTGCTGTGGCTAAGCCCCAATGTGGGCCTACAGTCACTGTCACATCTTCTCATTTACTGCAGGAAGCAGACACTCTGGCTTCCCTCTGAGACTGCACACTGTTTCCATGCTGGCTCACTTATTTCTAAAGTGCCCTGGGAGCCAGAGACCACACTTTGCAGTCATTTTTGGCCTTTAAACTGCCTGTGATGACTGACTGATATGTTGCTGGTAGGGGCAGGGGATCAGGAGGCAGGAGCTGGCCAGCACCTAGAGGCTGTGCCACTTGGACCCCCAGGCAGGGCAGCACCTACTTGGTCACTACGCTGATCTTCACCCCAAAGACACCGGTCTGCTTTTTGGATGGGGTCCTCTTCAGGCTCATGTCACGGCTTGTGAATTTCATGGAGAATTCCACTTTGATCTGTTCAGAGGGTGAAGTAGGCATGAGTTTCCCAGCAGTCCCTCCCTCCCCTCTGTCAAGGGGCCTCCTTCTCCAGGACTGAAAACAGGGCTCCCTGGAGCCTGAAGGGTTCCATGCACACCTGCAGCTGGGAGAGGGAAGGATGTGGCCTAAGAGGGGAGAACACTGGGATAGGAGAAGTGGCGGCAGCTCAGAGCCCAGAGGAGGATGGGAGGGATGCTGGCCGCTGTTCAGATGTCCCTACTTACCCCATTCATCTCGATCACATCCGTGTGCCAGTTCTTGGTTTCTACAGTTTGTGGATCCAACTGCAGAGAGAAAGAGGGAACATAAGAGAGGAAGAAGGGACAGGTCAGAGGCCAGCACTCTCCCTGCTGGTTGGCAATCGCTCACAAGCCAGCTAAAGGGTCAGGAAGGCCCAAGCTAGAATGCTTATCTTTAAATCAACCTGTCAGAATGGCTCCAGCCCACAGGCCCCCACAAGCCTTGGCTAGTGAAGGGCCCCCCAATCCCATAATGAAGAGGGTACCTTCTATGAGGCACTGTGCCCGTCACATTATTCTGGCTCCTGACCACCACACTGTAAGATGGACAAAAGTAGGAACTGAAGGTTCAAAAAGCATGCAACTTGCTCAGTCACAACAGAGTAGGTAGCTCCTCATCTGTGCACGTGGGGTGCCAACTGTGAAGGCAGTGAAGGCAGAAGTGAAGAGCTTTCCAGAGTTAGGCTCCTGGGTTTGAATCCTGGCTCAGCACTGCCCTGAGGCAGGATCTGGACCAGGTAATCTATCCCCATACACCGCAGCTAGTAATAGGGCCTGCCTCACAGGATCGCTTTGAGGATGCAATGCACTAGCTTAAGTAACATGGTTGGCTCTCAAGCAAGGTAGCCTCCACAGGGGAAGCCCCCTAGACTTGGGCTGGAGCTCCAGGGAGGGACAGGTGTTGGGACTGTTTGGGACTCAGAGGCCTTCAATTTAAAAAAAAAATTTTTTTGTCTTTTTGAGTCAGGGTCTCCCTGTAGCCCCAGCTGGCCTAGAACTTGCTATGTATATAGACCAGGCTGGAGATCCGCCTGCTTCTTCCTTCCAAGTGCTGGGATTAAAGGCATGTGCCACCATGCCCTGCTTTTTTTCCCCTTTTTTTAAAAAAAAATACTTTTTACTTATGTGCACAAAATAATTTTGAAAAATAATGTATTCCCACTGGGTGTGGTGGCGCATGCCTTTAATCCCAGCACCCGGGAGGCAGAAGCAGGCTGATCCCTGAGTTTGAGGCTAGCCTGGTCTACATAGCGAGTTCCAGGCCTTCTGGGGCTACAGGGAGACCCTGTCTCAAAAAATACAAAAGAAGGAAGGAAGGAGGGAGGGAGGAAGGGAGGAAGGGAGGGAAGGAAGGAAAAATTATGTGCTCCCTAGCACTTTATTTTTTGTATTGGGGATTCAACCTAGGGCCTTGTGCATACTAAACAAGCACTCTACCTAGGCCCCCACCCCCAGCACATTTTAAAGTCAACATCCCAACATTTCTATGGTAAGTTTAAGTAGCTATAGAGACTATAATTTCCAGAATAATATAAATATTGACATCTTAAAATGGTTACTTCATTCTTTGAATGTATACAGCAGAATCTAATTGCCATAGTGATTCAACACCCACCACCATCCACTTAAAAACACACGAATGAGCTCAGTTTTTTTTTTTTTGGTTTTTTTGACTTTTTGAGACAGGATCTCCTTGTTAGCCCCAGCTGGCTTGGAACTTGCTATGCAGACCACGCTGGCCTCAAACTCACAGAGATTCACCTGCTTCTGCCCCCTAAGTGCTGGGGTTGTGTTTTTGAGACAGGTTCTCACATAGTCTAGGATTGACTGAGGCTGGCCTTGAACCCTATCCTCCTGCTTCCACCTCCCAAGTGCTGGGATTATAGGCAAGTACCACAAAACTAGGCTATGAGCTCACCTTTCCCTTACATTGTCTTTTTCTCTGTGTTTATGTCTCTATTCCATTTCTCAAGAGGTTCCCCTCAGTTTATGCTTTTATATTTTCAAGTCTTGTACTTACCACCCTGTTATAGTTTGCTCCTAAAATACATCTAATACACAAGTGAAAAATTTCCTGAGACTACAAGTTTCCAAATATGTGAAACATTCTGGATTACAAGCATTACTAGTGTGTCATTTAAAAGCTCAGACACATTACAAATTTTAATAAATACTAAGTAGCAAAATAACATTCTGAGGACCTTTATGTCAATGAGACAGGCAGAAACTGTTTCTGTTTATTATTATTATTATTAATTTATTTTTTTGGTCTTTTTGAGACAGGGTCTCCCTGTAGCCCCAGCTGTCCTGGAACTCACTATGTAGACCAGGCTGGCCTTGAACTCACAGAGATCTGCCTGCCTCTGCTTCCTGAGTGCTGGGATTAAAGGCATGTGCCACCACGCCCGGCAACTTAATTCCTTTTCTCTCTCCCTACCCTCCTAGCCCTTAGTAGATCTCTGCACCTTCAGGGTCATGTCTGTCCCTCTGGGCCACTACCCCCACAGAAAGCAAGCTGAATGTGGGTCAGCCCAGGTCTTTCATGTGCCAGTCACCTCTGATGGGGTCTGGGGCTGTACCTGGCTGGTTCTGGGCCTGCAGGGGCCCAGACCCTGTGTTCAACAGTCAGTTCTCTGCACAAAGGAGGAATGGAATTGAAGATAGAACGCAGCACGGGGAGAACCAAGCCCAATCCTCTCCCTTGGGCAGAGCCCCACCCCCCAGGTGGGGTCCTCTGATAGTTACCATCTTGCCTATTGCTCAGGTGCACTCAGCCAAAAGGCTCAAGGTCAAGGGTCCTATGGTGTCCCAAAAGAAGCCCCAACTTCTCTTGTTCAGAAACTCCTGGACGTGCAGCACAGCACAGGCTGCCTCCCACAGTTCCTTCACCCTAGCCAGACTGCTAGGTCTTATAGACACTGGATCCCAGTCTGCTCTCAGTTCTGTCCCCCAGTAGTGGTCCACACAAGGTAGAGGGATCTCAAATGCCCTTCCCAGCTGACTGAGACAGATGTATCCCTTGATCCCTTGCATCTGTGTTGTTTTTTTTTTTTTGAAACAGGGTCTTGTTATGTTACACCCAGGCTTCTCTGGAACTCGCAATCTTCCTGCCTCAGTCTCTGAATGCTGGGATTTCTTGTGTGCACCATGACGGCTGGCTTGTGATCAGTTCTTTCGGAGGCAGGTCTCTCTAGGTACTAGCAGAAAACTCTGGCAATTTCATGTTCCTGATACCTAGGCAGATTCACTTTACATCCCTCTCCTGTCTTAACCGCATCCCCACCCCCCATGACCTGGCATCTCCTCTAGACTGAGCCAGTGTTCCTAGAGTGACGTAGTCCAAGTTTGGAAAGGGCAGAGATTAAGAGCCAGGCTGTCCTGGGTCTCCCATTCAGCCATGTGAATTTGGGTGGGCCTCAATTTTCTTATGGGGGTATTTGTGTCTATCTCACAGGGCTGCCTGACAGTTTGACAAACCCTTTGCACAACATTACCTACCAGTGTGGTTTAAGCTTTCACAGCTAATCCCATTCTGGACTAGACAAGGACACAGGGACTTAAACAATGCAAAGAACCTGCTCAGTGTCTAATACCTAGGGAGTGGGAACTAGGTACCTTCAAGTTTTTCTGACTCACCCTCTCTGCTAGAGCTACACGGGACTGTGCAATAAGCCAAACCTGTCACCTGCACCTGCAATGGTTAGTTGTCGTCACCATGATTCTCTCAGAAAAGAGACATTAGACTTCCTTGAGGAGCCTGGTGTCTGGCTACCTCAGGCACAAACTTCCTGTTTCCTCTCTTCCCCACCACATGGATCTGTTTTCCTGGAAGCTTTTGGAATAGGAAAAACCTGATGCTAAGGTCTGGTTCTAGTCCCCTCTTCTAGAAAGGCTTCATGGGGGAACCACAAGACTACAGTCCTACTGGGTGCCATTTGTTGTAGGTCTGCATGCTCTGACCAACCCTGGGTTAAAGTGCCCCTTCTTGTTTTGCTGTAAGTTCCCACCACTGCCATGTCCCTGGCTCCTGCTACAGGTATGGCCCCGGTACCTGCTTAGAAAGTCCTGCCTAGCTCCTTAGGGCCCTGACAATGACGCTGGTTCCCAGGAGGCCAGCAGCCTTCAGAAACCAGTCTATTTCAGGATGTCATTTACATACAGAGAAGGGAGGGTGGGGAGCCGAGAGGGACATGGCACATTTTCCAGAGAAATGATGCTGCCTGAGTTGCAGCGACTATTTATAACCCATGGGAACTGTGGACTCTGCTATTTCCTGATTAGATTAGTCCTCTGGGCACAGAAGCCAGTCTCTGGGATGTCAGTCCAGGGTACGACCCTTATTCTCAACAGACAGGTGCCATGCAAGGGTCACAGGAACAGGCACTTAGGGAACCTATGACCATCTGAAAGAGAGAGGCAAATGGGGCTTGTGAGGAGGGAGAGACTGACAGATCTGACAGATAACATACCTGTAGTGAGGCTCCCCCAGGGTAAGGCCAGGCAGGACGCAGAAGCAGGCCATAAAACACCTTGGAGGCAGTTACAAAGCACAGACATACAGCAACTCAACTTTGCTTTGCACTTAGGCCCAGTGACATGGCCGCACATTCCATCCACTCCCTAAGAGAAGCAAATGCTTTTAGGCTGATGTCTGAGAGAGCACCAGGTCCCCAGCCACAGAATGCAGGGGCTCTGCTAGAATCCTGCAGGTGGCTATCTCTCTTTCTAGACCAAAGTGGCCCCATGTTTAAGACAGGAAGCACTGACATGGTCTTATGGAGTGAGGATCTTAAGCTCCAAGGATTGAAGAGGATACTCTGTGCACCTGAGTGTCCCTCAGAGCTGAGTTTTGGGAACATCCTTCCATGTGGAAACCCTTCTTCCCAGACCCAGCTCTTCCCAGCCCAGGCAGGTGACCTCATCACTTCTTGGCCAGGTTCTCGTGCTTGGCATTTAGGAGGTACTCAGCAAGTTTAGGCCACTCTTACTACTAGGGTCTCCTTTCCTATTCCTTAGCAGGTGACAAAGCCATCTTCAAGCTAGTGTTCCTGACTTCTAAGCTACACTCCACTACACCACAAGCTTTCTACTATATGGCGGGGCTGAAAGTATTCTGGGAATGATTGCTGCTGTTTCACTTTCCAACAGGCCCTTATGTGGGTTGTTTAATTTTCAGTCAGGAGCCTGTTGTAGCCTTCTCTAGGAGCAGCTGGGGACAAACAGAAAGAACTAGCCCCCCCTGGTCTCAGTGGAAGGAGAGAGAG